ACCGATAAAATACGTGTACGGGTACAAGCCCCAGTACCCGCAACTTTAATTGCTCGTTATATGTGTGTACATGATACCAACTGGGCCACTATTGAAAAATGGCTGTTCTAACGCATTTCCTCACCCGATGTTGTTGAAAATCAATACAAACATAAGTACCAATGCACGCATGTTAATATAAGCAGATAATAATCTTATGTTATCTACAAGTTATCTGTCACTGTTGCATACGAATGTAAGCATAAAGAATATGTATAGCAAAAGTGTCAGTCTCCAATAAAACTCTAAAGCGAACAGACGCACGGCGGTCCGCGACTATTGTCTTTTACTTTACTCCTACTGAGCCCTTCCCTTTTCAGCGAATATATAATCTATTCAATAGGTTATGGGCCCAGGGCATATAGGCTCATAGGAGAAGTTCAAAGTATTGTGAAATAGTAATCGTTTGGTGACTCAAGAAATATAACATTTAAAAAATGAGTGCGCTATATCAAATAGACAAATTGGAAGAGCATAACTATGACTCATGGAGCATACAGATGCGATCTGTCTTAGTGCACGCGGAATTGTGGAGTGTGGCATCAGGTGCTGAACCTAGTAATACTGAGAGTTCAAGGCCAAAAGATGAAAAGGCATTAGCAATTATAACGCTAAGTGTAAAAGCTTCACAATTGGGCTTCATTAAAAATTGCAACACTTCGTACGAGGCATGGAAAAAGTTAAAGGACGTTCATCAGCCGAGTGGACCTGTACGGAAAGTGTCGCTGTACAAGAAATTGCTAGGCAAACGCATGTTTCAAGGCCAAAGCATTTCAAGTTACATACACGAATTTAACGAAATTCTGGATGGTTTGTGTACAGTTGGCATCGAATTAAATGATGAGTTAAAAACAATCGTGTTGTTGTCAAGCTTGCCCGAACCATACGAAAATTTTGTCGTCGCCATTGAGACGCGTGACAATTTACCGTCATTTGATGTGTTATGTATCAAGCTGATGGAAGAGGGAGAGCGCAGAGGCAATGCAGATGGAGAGAGCGAGAATGCAAGAGCATTTATAGCTACGCAGCAGATCGTCGCGCATTCCAAAGCGAATTCAAAAAGGAATTCAAAAATCGTCGTTTGCTACAACTGCGGCGAAAAAGGGCACTACAAGGCACAGTGCAAGCGTGAGAAAATTCGCGGTGAAGGGAAAAAGCAATCGACAAAGAAAGAGATGGAAAAGCAGAGCAGCTTGTTAAATGCGTTGGACGTTGGAAAGATAGAGAACAACATGTGGTGTCTGGACAGCGGAGCAACAAGCCATATGTGTTGCGATAAGACGTTATTTTCAAAATTTATTGCGCACACTGAAATGATCGGTTTAGCTGACGCTGGTTTCCTGAAGGCCGAAGGCAGAGGAGAGGTGAAGTTACAGACAGAACTTTGTACCTTGGTGTTGTCAGATGTACTGTATGTACCGAAAATGAATGGCAACTTTATGTCCGTCAGCCGGTCAGTGCAAAAGAACAATGTTATACATTTTGGGCCACATTTTGCTAAAGTTATACAAAACGGCGAGTGTATACTGAAAGCGAATAAAGTTGGGAACCTTTATATGTTTCAAGGCAAACAAAATAGGTGTTATTCCGCAACTGAATCAGATGGTACATTGTGGCATAAGCGTTATGGCCATTTAAATTTTACCAGTCTGAAGGAAGTGATCAGCAAAGAGCTAGTGCGTGGTATTGGAAAGGTTGTTTTCCCAGACAACTTGAATTGCAAAACGTGTATGCTAAGCAAAATACATGTACAGCCATTCCCAAAGGTAAGCACTAACCGTGCCGAAGAGCTGTTGGAACTGGTTCATGCTGATGTATGCGGCCCATTCGACACGAAGTCACTTGCTGGATCCAAATACTTTCTGACCTTCATCGATGACAAGTCCAGGCGTATATTTGTTTATTTTTTGCGGAAGAAAGATGAAGTGTTCAGTAAGTTCGTCGAATTTAAAAACTTGGTTGAACGGCAAACAGATAAAAAGCTCAAATGTATTCGAACCGACAATGGAGGCGAGTTTGTCAACACAACATTCAACGGTTTCCTGAAACACCATGGTATTGCAAGGCAATTGACCGTGGCTTATACTCCGCAGCAGAACGGCGTGGCGGAAAGAGCAAACCGGACATTAACGGAGATGTCCAGATGCTTATTGGTGCAGTCGGGCCTAGGCGAGTCTTTGTGGGCCGAAGCAGTCAACACAGCAGTATACATAAGAAACAGATCACCTACCAGTGCACTGAACAACCTGACTCCAATGGAAGCGTGGACAGGTAAGAAACCCTGTGTTAGCCATCTAAAAGTTTTTGGTTCCATTGCAGTTGCACTTGCAAAGGGTCCCCGTAAAGGCAAATTCAAACCCAAAGGGCATGAGTACCGTATGGTTGGGTATTCGGTAGCAGCCAAAGGCTATCGGTTATACGACCCAGAGACGAGGACGATTGTCGAAAAACGAGACATTCTATTTGATGAGCGTTGTGGTGGTCATACCAATGAAGATACCGTTACGGTAGATTTTCCTGCATGCGAGGTTCAAGAGCATGTCACTCACACGGATGGTGACAGAAGCATCGACGACGATGACAGTGAGCACAGTTCTGACGACAGCAGCTCCAACGCATATGAGAGTGCAGTCGAAAAAGAAGACTCTGACGAGGATACTGTGAAGATTGGGCCAGGCCGGCCTAAAATTGTTCGAAATGGTAAACCTGGTCGTCCAAGAAAGCAATACAATGTGCTTGGAGCATTGGTTGCTAGTGACGTAATGGTTCCGACATCCTATGATCAGGCCGTTGGTAGCACACATGCAGTATTCTGGCAAGAGGCGATGCAAAAGGAATATCAGGCACTACAATCAAACGAAACCTGGCAGATGGCTGATTTACCAAAAGATCAGCGAGCAGTTGGTTGCAAGTGGGTATACAGCCTGAAACGTGACTCTGATGGAAAAGTCGAACGTTTCAAGGCACGACTCGTTGCTAAAGGGTGCTCCCAGAAGTATGGCGTGAACTATGTAGAGACGTTCTCACCCGTTTGCAGATTGGAAACCGTGCGGTTTATTTTGGCGTTAGCAGCGGAATTGAAGCTGTACCTTCACCAGATAGATGTGTGTACCGCCTATTTGAATAGCGACCTGCATGAAACTGTTTATATGAAGCAGCCACAGGGATACACAGATCCCAATAATCCAAGTAAGGCTTTATTGCTTAAAAAGGCAATATATGGATTGAAGCAGTCGGGGCGCGAGTGGAACTCCAAGCTCGATTGTGTACTACAAGGCATAGATTTTGTAGCATGTGAAAATGAACCGTGTCTTTACAAAAGGAACGGAAGAGGTGACTTATCATTAATCCTTGTTTATGTTGATGATATAATTATAGCATGCCGATCAAAAGAGGACTTGGCCAACATCAAGTCAGCCATTACAACATCGTTTGAATGTGTTGACAAGGGAGAGCTGCATTTGTTCCTTGGCATGGAAGTGCAGCGCGACGGTGAGCTTGGCGAAATTTCGCTAAGCAATTCGCAATACATCAAAGACATATTGCGTGAACATGGATGCGAGACCTGTAGACCTACAGCGACCCCACTGGATGCTGGTTTCCAAGTGATATGTACCAGCGAGCATTGTCAAAAGGTTGACATTGCATCCTACCAGTCTTCAATTGGCGAGTTAATGTGGCTGGCGCTTACAACAAGGCCAGACATATTGCATTCCGTTGCCAAGTTAGCTCAACGGAATCAAGATCCGCATGCAGAGCACCTAGTGGGTGTAAAACATGTGCTTCGATACCTGGCGTCAACTGTGGACCTGAAGTTGCACTACAAAGAGTGTGGACAACCCCTTACCGGCTATGTGGATGCAGACTGGGGTGGCGACCGCATCGATCGCAAGTCGTATACTGGCTATGTATACTACTTGGCTGGAGGACCCATATCCTGGCGATCTGAAAAGCAACGCAGCGTGGCACTTAGCAGCACGGAGGCGGAGTATATGGCTCTTTCAACTGCGTGTAAGGAGGCCATATACCTACGGCGTCTTATAGTGGAGATTGGCTGCGGTGACTCGAGTACTCCAACTATTCTTCATGGCGATAATTTAAGTGCTCAACAATTAGCTAAGAATCCTGTACACCATGAAAGAACAAAGCATATTGATATTAGATATCATTTTGCAAGACAGGTTGTAAACGAAGAACAAATTGTTTTACAGTATACATCAACCAATGAAATGATAGCTGATATTTTAACGAAAAATCTCCCTAAAGCGAAGCATGTTCATTTTACAAAGCTGTTAAATTTGATTTGAAAATTTTTGTAAAACATGTTTGCATTGAGGAAGGGTGTTGAAAATCAATACAAACATAAGTACCAATGCACGCATGTTAATATAAGCAGATAATAATCTTATGTTATCTACAAGTTATCTGTCACTGTTGCATACGAATGTAAGCATAAAGAATATGTATAGCAAAAGTGTCAGTCTCCAATAAAACTCTAAAGCGAACAGACGCACGGCGGTCCGCGACTATTGTCTTTTACTTTACTCCTACTGAGCCCTTCCCTTTTCAGCGAATATATAATCTATTCAATAGATGTGAGCGTGTATATAGACAGGAGATTAGAGCGAATAACTGGAAGACATATTTTATTTTTTGACAGTTAAAAACTCTTTAGAAACGCCAGCAGTGTTCGGCTAGCAATTTGTAATTATCAGACATGCCTTCGCGATTTCTTAAATGAAATGTTAGGCAACTAAATCGCTAGCCTCATATGTGCAGCGCCTTGTGCTAAAAGCGATAAGAACAGAAAATAATAACAATGGAGAATAACAACGAAAGTTTCAGACCTGGCACAAAACAAATATTTACGCAACTGTATTTGCAGTTTTTATTAAATTTCTTTAAAATATCTTCGCTTTAAAAATAACATATATTCCACTCCTACTTGTATATACTTACAGATCCGCCCATTGTAGCCGAGCCGCAGCCAAATGTACAGGTTCCGCATTATCTGCCCGATCCGCGTGATGGCAGCATTTACCAATTGGGCCAGATGGGTAATCTCAAGAAGCTGCCCTACACCATACCCCAGTTGGTGGCGAACGCCCCCTGTCGCTCCTCCGATGGCATTTTGTATTCGGGGAAGAAGAGCGATACCTGGTACATCGTCGATCCTAAGACGGGACAGCGTGAGAAGGTCATGGGCTTTGGGGATGCGACCGTGGATGCCACCAGCAAGGAGGGCGAAAAAATTGGCTGGGCTACGTCCCGTGCCATCTACTTGGGTCGCACTCAGTACACGGTCATGATGTACGATAGCCTCGCCAAGGACAAGAATGTCAAGCCCTGGAACATTACGTTCTATGACTATAATGCGCTCACAGCTCCACCCGAGCTGGCAAAAGAATATGGTGAGTAGGGATTGCATTGGAAATATTGCAGAGAAAGCTGTATAAAGTAATGGATGTTCTCTCAACATTTTGAAATCACACCAAATAGCATCAAAAATTATGAAAATCGTGGAAAAATATACAATTGTTGTTCAATTTTAGTTATGTTTAAAAATAAGGAAGATGTTTATCGGAGGCACTAAACATATTTATATTAGAGACATATTGATAAATCGAAAAAGATCGCTTTGTTTTTTGAACACTTCCTTATAAACGGGTCCACAAAAGGTGTTGGTGAAAAATGTTTTCAGTATCAGCGAGCGATTTTACATAAAACATGAGAATTGGTTTTTCAAGAAAAATTAGAGAAATACCTTAAAAAATCAGAAACTGTGTGGGAAGATTGAACAGCTATATACATCTAATTCTGTTTTTACACGGCAGATTAGTTCCAGAAACAAACGTGTAAAAAAAGAAATAGAAAAAAATAGGTTATTGGTTTCTTATCTCTAAAAAAATATTGTATATATGAGAAATTTTGAATTTTCAAAAAGACCGTGTAATTATTTATTTATTCATAATTCTGTTTTTAAACGGTAGATGGGTTCCAGAGACAATCGTGTAAAAAAGACATTGACATTGCAAAAATAGGAACCAATCCTTATCTCCAAAAAATATATATGAAATCTTAGATTTTCAAACCGTGTTATATGAAAATCGTGTAAAAACCGAATTAGGTGTATACCATTTATTTATTTATACATTAGATGCTCCTATAATCACATATGCTATAATTTAATGCTAAAATTAATAAAGTCCATATTTCTATGCCTTCAAGCAGAATATATACACCTGACTACCACAAGCAGCGGTCAGATCGTGACGCTGGACCGCAAACAGGGCAAATTTTTATGGCAAAAGGATTTGAGTAGCGCTGTAGTGGCCGCCTTTTTGCTCGGACCCGATGGTTTGCTGAGCGTGCCATTCACAACCCTGTCCGATGAGGCCTACGACGCCATAGTGGAGGAATCGAAGACGGGCAATGTGAACACTGTGAAGCTATTGTAAGTGCTCGGTTGGCAGATAATGGTCAGTCGTCTGAATTCTACTAACTGTAATTCCCTTTGCAGTCAATCGCTCTATGTGGGCGAGCATCAAAGGGGGGGTCTGTACGCCTTACCCTCGCTGGTGGACAAGAACACGCCGCGCATCTCGACGGCGCCTTCCATCAAGTTACTGGACGGGCCGGCCATATCGCCCAACAGCAATGAAGCCGATCCCCAGACGGTGTATATAAATGATGTATTGCAGGAGAATCCGGGCATAATGCTCGGCCACTACAATGTGCCCAACGAAGGCAACTTGCAGTTGTCGCCGACACCGGCAAACACTAAAGAAGTCCACGGTCTGGCCACGATCCACAACTATAACGATGGCTTTGGCTTGCTGGCGAATAATGAGAAAAATTCCGCCGACATTGGCGTGCAAACGGAGAAGATTGTGGAAATCACGATTGATCGGAGTAACACAATTAATCGCACCAAGACCATCATCTTGGCCAATAGCAACAAAGTGCAGGCATTCATAAATGAATGGTTTATGGATCATCCGAGTGGCAAAGTCCACCAACTACTGATCGTCATTATACTCGGCATGATTGCATTGTTCTGGTATACGTGCAGCAATATGCGTGAGTTGCAAAAGCAGAGCGAGAACGGTTCGAAAACCTATGCCGTTACCCAGAATTCGAGCAATGGCAGCAATGCCAGCAATGTGAACGCTCAGGATCTGGTCGATCTCGGCGATGGACATGTGCGTGTCGGCAAAATATGCTTCAATCCCAATGAGGTGTTGGGGAAGGGCTGCGAGGGCACATTCGTCTTTAAGGGCACCTTTGAGGAGCGTTTTGTGGCAGTCAAACGCTTGCTGCCCGAATGCTTCACCTTTGCCGATCGTGAGGTTTCGCTGCTGCGTGAATCCGATGCCCACGAGAATGTGGTGCGTTATTTCTGCACCGAACAGGATCGACAGTTTCGTTACATCGCTGTGGAACTGTGCGCCGCCACTCTGCAGGACTACACCGAGAGCGAACGGGCTATGGAGTTGCGCGAACACATTGATGTCTGGCAGATTCTTGTTCAGGCTGCTGCTGGCGTTAGTCACTTGCATTCCTTGGATATCGGTGAGTTCTATTAACCATTTAGTATTCGAATCAGATTTCTGAAGTTGAATTTTGTGATTGCAGTTCATCGCGACATTAAACCACAGAATGTTTTGCTTTCGCTGCCCGATGCCAGAGGTAGAGTTCGTGTCATGATCTCCGACTTTGGTCTCTGCAAAAAATTGAACTTTGGACGCACCAGTTTCTCACGTCGTTCCGGCGTTACCGGCACAGATGGCTGGATAGCGCCCGAAATGATGCGCGCTCAGCGCACGGTAAGTGTTTTGTGATTCCAAAATTAGAGGGATTTGGCAATATTAAGATCGACGCCACAAACTATTTGAATGCTTTGCCATGATTAATAGCGGAGGGAGACTTTATTTTGTAAGAATCTACAAACTACAAACTATTTTAACTTTCTAATCAATACCAAATGGGAGCTTTAATTTATGATAATGGGGGGTTCCCCAAATATTGAATTCTAATCAAAAATGTATTTTAAAATCGGGGTTTGGCATAAGCACCGCGGAGGAGGACGTTCTGAGTTGTTTTTACAAATTAGCAGCCGCTAAGCGCACCAACATTTTAAAACAAATGTAGACAAATAATATTTTAATTAATTGTTAAAAAAATATTCTGCAATTTGCACTGAATTTGGTGAGAATCGCTGAGAATTTTAAAACTTAAAAGAAACTTCCCAATCAATACCAAATGGGAGTTTTAATTTATGAGAATGGGGGGTTCCCAAAATATTGAATTCTAATCAAAAATGTATTTTAAAATCGGGTTTTGGCATAAGCACCGCGGAGGAGGACGTTCTGAGTTATTTTTACAAATTAGCAGCCGCTAAACGCACCAAAATTTAAAATAAATTCAGAAAAATAATATTTTAATTAATTGTTAAAAATAAATATTCCTCAATTCAGCGCTTTGATGAGAATCGCGGAGGAGGGCTTCATGAATTATGAATTTTAAAACTTAAATGAAACTTTCTAATTAATATCAAATGGGAGCTTTAATTTATGAAAATGGGGGGTTCCCCAAATATTGAATTCTTATCAAAAATGTATTTTAAATTCGGGTATTGGCAGAATAATCGCGGAGCAGGGCGTTCTGAGTTGTTTTTATAAATTAGCAGCCGCTAAGCGCACCAACATTTTAAAACAAATGTAGACAAATAATATTTTATTTAATTGTTAAAAAATATTCTTCAATTCGTAATGAATTTGGTGAGAATCGCGGAGGAGGGCGCTTCATGAATTATGAATCTTAAAACTTAAAAGAATTAGCTTCAACCAAAAGATCTCTCCCACCACTCGCCCTTAACACAATTAATTGACCAAAATGTATAACTAATAATAATTATTATTAATTCTATGTTATACAGACGACCGCTGTGGACATTTTCTCACTCGGCTGCGTCTACTACTATGTGCTGAGTGGCGGACATCACGCCTTTGGGGACACGCTGAAGCGACAGGCGAACATACTCTCGCACGAGTACAACCTGGCGAAGCTGAAGGCTGAGGACGATAGCGAGTGCAGTCGAACCGTAAGTGAGCCGTAGTTAAACGTTAAAACAAACCCTAAGCTTTGCTTTTATCCTTTATAGGTGCTGGCGGAGCAACTGATTGCGGACATGATACACAAGGATCCGCAAAGCCGTCCACCGGCCCGCTGCATTGGCAATCATCCGCTGTTTTGGGATGAGCCGAAAATACTCGCATTCCTGCAGGATGTTAGCGATCGCGTGGAGAAACTGCAATTCCATGCCGAGCCACTCAAGTCGCTGGAGAAGAACGGCCGCATTGTGGTGCTCGACGATTGGAATTTGCACTTGGATCCCATGATAACCGACGATTTGCGCAAATATCGCGGCTACATGGGGGCCAGCGTGCGTGATTTGTTGCGTGCGTTGCGCAACAAGAAGCATCACTATCACGAGCTGACCAGCGAGGCGCAGGAGCTGCTCGGCTGCATTCCACACGAGTTCACCAACTACTGGGTGGACAAGTTCCCCCAATTGATTTCGCACACCTATCACGCCTTCAGTATTTGCTCCAACGAGCCCATTTTCCGGCCCTACTATAATGCCGGCTATCATTTTTCGCGTCCCTGGTATTTCGATGCGGACGACGCGCTATTTCCCATGCTGATGCACGATCCCAAACCTATGCCCAGGCAAGGGCCGATGGGCAGTCCAAAGCCCAAAATGCCGCGCACACCCGAGCGCCCGCAACACCAACAACAACAGCAGCTAAAGCAGCGTAAGGGCGTCTACAATTTCCGAAAGACGGCCAACGAGGACAGCGCCATGTTGGGCGTGGGTTTGCAGCGAAATCTGGATTTGGATGCGACGAACGGCGAGGGAAAGCGCGATGTATTTGCGAATTTCAAATTTCGGCGCTACGGGAAGCCAAACAATGGCAATCGCAACTATGGAGGTCAGAAGGAGGATAAGGAGAAGGACAAATACGTTAGTTGGACGCTGCCGCAGACAACTAACGTTAATCCGGAGGAGGAATAAAACGACAGCTGAGGATCTTTATTTTTATTTATAATTCTTTAATTTTAATTGTGCAATTTTATTTTTCTGTAAGCAACTATTCCAAAAAACAAACAGAGTAATTTCAACTTTCGTTCGTTCTTAGCCACAATTTTTTAAAACAATTTATGAGAGATAATTGATATTTTATATATAGTATAAAAACCCAGAGAGCGGAAATGTGTAGCGTAATTGTGTATCTGTCGAATGCACGTAATTTAACTGTGATAATTTATTTCGTCTAGACTTATAAATGGCAAGTAATTGCAAATTTTATATAAGAGAGTGTTATACATATAAACACATATATTTATGCATTAGTGATAAGTTTTTTCTAGAAGAATGACTATAAGTATACCCCCTAATCGTTAATTGAATTGATCTGTAACCTTTATATTACGCACTTAGCCTCTAACTGAATGAAATGAAATGATAATTGTGCATTAAAAAGGAACTGGCATGACTAGAAACCAAAACTCGAACATCATGTTTATCCTATTGAATTGTATATAATAATTATTATTAACTGTATTGTCCGCAGGCAGAGCAACCTCATTCGCAACTGCTGCTGCCTACCCAGGTTTTGTTTTAAATAAAAACTATATACATATTTAACAAAATTGCACTACATTGTTTTATTTGTAGTTTGTTCATAGATTCTTGCAAATAGTCTTTGCTAACAATTAACTATTAATTTAATACGTACAACGAATTTTAATTTGGCATAAAAACAATTTTAGAATTTAACAATAAATAAATAAATAGCGAGATTTTTTGTTCATTTTGTTTTCTTTAGAAGAAATAAGAAGATTTTATACTAGAGATTTCGAAAAAGGTTGCTTGTTTTTGTTTCGACTTTGGCGTTGTTTGTTGCTTTCTTTCTTTGTGTTTTCTTGCGTTGCAGCTCATCTACGGGTCGTGTCTTTAATAGTTCGCACTCTTCCTCACCGATTTCATTTCCTGGCGCACACAGAACTTGAAAGCATCCCAACCTTCGGCCTTTGCCACAGACTGGAAGCAAGGCAAGCGAAAGGTATTATTATTTATTTTATTATTATTTCTATGGAAACAGGCTGTGAAATCGTAAAAATGAAATGGAAAGACACACAACGAGATAAGAGACGACACACAAAAGCTCCAAAAGTAGCAGAGAAAGTATTTCGGGGGCAATAGCTCAGTTTAGAGATGGACAAGGGCCGACACTTTTCCAATTCGACGCGATATGGATTTGTTAAAACGCATAATATGTGAATCTAAAATTATATTTTATGGGTCTAATTAATGAAAGAAACCAAAACTTAATAAGATTCAAACTTAAAGGCACTTTTTCAAATCGTTGTTTTGAAATATTAAATATTTTTCAGAAAATATGCGGTTTTAAAATCATATTTTTCGGGTCCAATTAATGAAAGAAACAAAAACTAAATAAGATTCAAACTTATAGACAATTTTGCAATTCGTTGTTTTGAAAATTTAAATATTTTTTGGGTCCAATTAATGAAAAAACAAAACTAAATAAGATTCAAACATACAGGAAATTTTTAAAATCGTTGTTTTGAAATTTCAAATATTTTTCAGAAAAGGTGCGGATTTGTTTGAAACATAAACTAAATAAGGCAATTTTTCAAATCGTTGTTTTGATATTTTTAATATTTTTCAGAAAATGCAATGCCCCATTTTCAGTTACTAAAAATAATTTTTAATAGATTCAGCTGCTTAAATAGGTTTTGCCTAAAAAATGATTATTTTACAGAGAACTAGCTTCTTTTATTTCTATAGATTCGTGAACTTTTGAATAGTGGGTTCTTTAAAATCAAGCGCCCGCTTGGCCTGCCTCGTCTTGAAAGCGTTTTTCAAAACTGCCTATTGGGAATAATTTTTAGGTGTCGACCAACACTATTTCATCGCTGTAGGGGTGATAAAAGCTGAGCTGAAAAAAGAGCCATTAAGTTCGTCTTCTCTTGTCAATCACCGCTTTTACAATATATTTTTAAAAACGATCTTATTGTAACCAATCTAACGTCTAAAATTTATGGAAGGGCTGGCTTTTGGTCTAAGGTCTAAGCAGTTTTTAAGTGTTGCGTTATTTATGAATAGCCTGACATCTGATAGTTCTGGACTGTTAAGAACCATAGTTATATACAGGTATATACTAATATACTTTGCTTGTAAGATGACAAAAAACTCAAATAAATTTCTACGGTTAAGAAAATAAAGTAAAGAAAATGGTAGAATTCGAATCGATTTCTTAATCGCATTCAGCTCTTGTGTATTCTTATGAAAGATAAGTTAATGACTGTAATTCAATAAAAGATATGAGTATGTTCGGAGAATATATTTAAGGGGTATTTCCAATAAGTAGTGTTATTTTGAATAAAAAGGACCGCGCGCGATTGAGAAATATGAAAGGACCCTTGTCCATCTCTAACTCACATACCTCGTCAGCAGATTTGGGCTTAGCTGTTGGCGCTAACTTGCGCTGTTCTATGATCAAAGCATCTTGCTAATAAAATAAAGCCAAAAGAAGCAAAATATAAATTGGAATGCAAAAATATGGTGGGAGAGCTATGAGATGAAGAATACTTTAACAGAGTTTTGTTTCAATTTAGATTTGTTTGTAAACAATTTTCTAAAAGAAAATAAACATAAGATTAGAATACCCCTAGCAGCTATTAATAGATGCGGGGAAACAGAGTCAAAGACATAAGATTAGAATACCCCTAGCAACTTTTAATAGATGCGGGGAAACAGAGTCAAAGACTCAGCTGACACACACACATTTAAATGATTACAGTAATGTTGATAAGTGTTTGTACAGCTATGGATGTTCAGACACGCAAATAATTTGCCTACAAAATTCGGATTTTCTACAGGAAGAAGTCCACAAAGAGCTTTCTTCTTGCATTAACTCATAACTTGTAAAGTTCGAAAAATTTGTGTGCAAATATTTTGCCTATCTGACCATAGCTGAAGTCACAAACAGCAAATAATAAAATGCCAATTGGTTGTGTATAAAATAAGTGATGAATTTAATTATTTGTTTGTTCATGTGGGCCAATTAATAACTAGTTGATTTAATTAATAACTAAATTGTGATAAACGAACATTAAAATATGAATATATGAATTGACTAAAGCGCAGACAAAACGATAAACTTAAAGCTTAAGCGAATATAATGAAATAAAACAACAACAGTATAAATTAATGTTAAACATGGTTTAAGGAAAACCTGCGGGTTTGAATCATTCAAGACCACAGGAAACATAATGGAAACGTCGAGCAAATTAATAAGGCATTCACAAAAGCGATTAAGTACATAAATAAGTTTTAGGCAGTCTATATGTTTGTTTGTCTAGTGCCAGAGCGCATCGCTGTCTATATAGTAGTCCAAGCGCCGGCAGAGATGATGCCGCCAAGCAACGAACATCGGATACTCGGGATCGTCGTAAGCGTCGAGCGCCTCATTGTAATTGAGAAAGCGACCACTTACTTTGAAGCCGCGATGCAGGCGATCCTTCATAATGGCAATGAACTCCTTGTACGACAACAGTCCATCGCCATCCTCATCGAAAATGGCAAAGACAGTCTCTATTAAATGCGGACTGAGATTATAGCCTGTGCAGATTTTGACAGCGCGTGAGAATTCATCTGAAATGATATTGTGGGTCAATAATTTACTCTGCTCTTCCAGATGTCCAGCCCGCTCAGTCTCCAGCAGATCAAGCAATTCTTCAAGTTTCTTTCAAGTTTACCATCAGGTTGGCTTTAACTCACCCTTCGATATGGCGCGATCGGCTAATGTATACATGCGCATGGCGATTGTGAAATCATCTAGATTGTTAAGGAAGTGACAGAAATCGCGGAAATCATTAAACGAAATGCCCTTGTCGTCCTTAATGCGACTCAAAAGACGCTCCAGGAAGACATCGTACTCGTCGGTGGCCAGATAGGTGTAGCGTAGCAGGATTTTCGCAAAATCCAGTTCACTAATCACACTGTTGCCTTTGGAGAATTCGTGGAACTCCAGTTCGAGCACTTCCGTTTGCAAGTTATCCATAAAGCGATAGAAGTTATCGTAGTTTATGACGCCAGTGCCACGTTTTCCAAAGAAATGCAGCTGCAAGGTGGTAGCCACGGATTGGCGTCGCTGCAGACCCTCCTTGTCGTCCACATAGTGGCTCTGGCAGACAGAAAGAGAAATCGGGGAAGTGAGTAATGGTTTTGGAAAGCCATATGTCCAATACGTTAGTCACAACATGTACAGTGGAGGGACATGCTACATTACCTCCGTGTTATCGTTGTTCTCACTTTCTACTTCCGCTTCCTGTTCACCGTGTTTCTCTTTCCAAGCTCCGCTGAAAATGCGCTCCATCTGGATATTATATACATAGCAGGAAGTGGGGCAGGTTTTTTTTTTTTTTTTGGTTTATATTTTGTATTAGACGGGAGAGAAGAAGAGTTAAGTGGGGTTTAGTAAGGGTATGGTGTGGAGAAAGGGGGGCCATAATGAAACAAAAAGCGTAATTAACAAAACAATCAACAAAAGCATCAACACTAATAAAATAGGTATATAGAAGGATAATTCTGTGGTGGCTAAAGCTATACAAGGCATGGGTGGGCTGTACAAAAATTACATTAACTGAAGCGATTCAATACAACGTAACAAAACTCTCTTCTTCAGTTTGGCATGACAGATTAAAGAGTTTAAACTGAAGCGGAATATTCCAATTAATAAATAAATAAATAACGCTCTTAAAGGGAAATGTTTTTACAATTTCAGAAATTCATTCTTGTTTTAAAGTAGCAAAGTGAAGCCAAGAATGTGTGCTAGCAAGTTCCACTTACTAGACCTTTTGACGGCTTTGCGGTTGTGCGACTTAAATGAATTCGCTCTTCAAGTGAAACTAAACGATTAAGCTGTTGAAAAATTAATATTAATAAATCAAAGAAACATCAAATTATAAGCAAGATAACAAATGAATAAAAAGGCAAATGAAGCGCTTGAATTTTTAAAGTCGCACGAAAGCGACTCTAGTATTATACCCTGTACCTAAAAGTTACAAAGGGTATATAAGGTTTGAAGATTGTAATAGACTGTAGTATATATATATATATTCCTGATCAGCATTAGCAGCCGAGTCTATCTATCTGCTAGGGACACACCATTTTTTAAACGGATGCCTTACATGTGTACTTGTAGTTCAAATATTTTACTAGTTTCCTCCTTCTCCTCTCTCCACCACTTCAAAATATTGCCAATACTGTCCCGAGTTCTGAAGCTACGTCTATTTTAGATTTTATTCAAATCGGATGACTGCTTTATCAAATAGTCGCATTATAGAAAGCTCATAAAAACAAAAATTAGTAGTTAAAAAATCAGATTTTAAGTTCAATTGTCTTCAGATTTTGATGATACTTTTGGATATGGTGTGGCACTATAAAAAAACTACCAATTATTAAATTTGGTCACGTAATTTTTCGAAAAAATAAACGATTTAAGTACTAAAATGCTTTTAAAGTCCATCGTTTTTATGTCAACTATAAAAAATAATGAGGCTATATGTTATTTGTCCTAAACTTAACCTGCAAATGGATATAAAAAGTCTACATGCCAAGTCTGCTGTCCCTAGCTGTTATATTTTAAAAGTTCTTATCGTTCATACAGACGAACGGATGGACGGTCATACGCCCTTCGGAATTGTTAGTATACACAGTTTTTCTTCTTTCAGCTACAGGGTATATAAAAGAAAAGAATAATATTAATCCTCAACTATGCAACCTTATTGGCGCTTACATTTCTAGCGCTGCTGCAGGCTGTTTTTAAAAATATGAAATATCAATTATGAAAAGTTAATCAGAGTAGCCAAAATATAGGAAACAAAAAAGCTTACAACTTTGCGAGTTTTTTCATCAATGTTTTCCATCTCTTTATAGGCGCCGGCCAATATGGAGATTATCTGGTGGGGTGTACAAAATAAACAAAAATGATAACAAATTGAAATAATAAGCAAATGCTAAAATAATAATGAGGTATCTAAAACACAGGGTACAATTATGAGACTCTTTGGTTCCACTTACAACTAAAAACTCATCTCTGTCCACTCGCTGATTGCCATCGGTGTCGAACATGTTGAAAGCAATACGAAAACCTGATCTGGGTTCTGAAAAATAAATGCATTTTATTTGAAAATAAATTCCAAGTCTGTGGGCGCAACTTACTTGTCAAAATAGAGAGCAGAAACAGATACTCTGTGTAGGAAATTATGCCTGAAAAGGAGAGGAAACTATTCAGTATCGAAAATTGAAATACTTAATAATATAATTTTAGAATTAAATTGCATATATTAGAGTATAGTTTTGAAGACAATTTTAACTTAAGAGAGAAATAGTTGCAAAATAAAATAAACTTATCAATAAAATGCTGTAGAACAGATTTTAGAAGCGATTATATCCGATTAAAAATGTAAGATAGAAGTCAAATAAAAAACATCAATAATTTTTCGTTAAAAGAATTGTGTTTGAAAAATATATCATGTTCAGAACTCATAAAAAATGTTTTTAAAAAATAGTATTTTTAAGCTACTTTGCGAGTTATGGCATTTAGCAATTAAACAATTTAAAGATGAAAACGACTAATTTAAATTAAATTGAATCACAGGAGTGACGAACTTATTTATGCTTTCTTATGTCCACTATAGCATTTAAAAGATGATAATACATTGCTTAAATACAGCATTAAGTTGGTTTTTAAATTTGTTTCTTTGCTTCAAACTCACCCTTATCTCGCAGATTTCGGAATAGGCGCGTCGAGCCCTTCTTCAGTGCTGGTGTTTGTTCTTTATATTTCTCAACCTCCTCGTTGTTGAGCACGCGACGCTTAAGACGCGCTAAATTGGTAATTCTTTCAAGCTGAATTAAATAAGACTAGGAAATAGTAACACTCACGTCTGGGTTCCTGTTCCACCACAGAGTCTAGAAAGTCCTGCGGCGTCATATAGAGCTGATCTCCAAATTCCACAGATGCGAATTTGATGAAACGCCTTTCGCGCGCTGTTAACTTGATATTCTCAATATCCATCTCCTGCTTCGCCTGTTTGGTTGATTAAAGATTAAGTTTCGAGAAAATAAATCGTAATTTAATATGCCGTAGTGCGTATATGGTGAAAATATAATTGACATAAATCAGAGTGCGATTCGATCGCTCTGCGATTTCCGCCGCTGCGGCACAAAGGCAGACTGACAACAAAAGACTGCGAGCCTGGTGACGTTTTGATTAATGTTTTTGGAGTGTTGGCAAAAATTAAGCAGTCTTTTTATGACTCGCATAAAGCTGGCATATAGATGAGCGACTGCTCAGGATTCCCACGCAGCATTTGGCATAAATTTGATAATTGATTTGCTCTAGAGAGGCCGTGCTTTTTGGCATAAATAAATCGACTTTTATAGCAATAAATCTGACATTTAATGCCACACAGACAACAAGTAGGCAGTCACAATGACTCAATTCCATGTCCAGTGCCTGCCTGGGGCCAACAAATGCGAGAATGGGCCATAACTCGACTTGGCAGGTCAAAACCAAAGCCAAAATCAAGGCTCTCATTCAAATGTTAGACATGTGCAGCAGAAACACTTCACGCTCACGCCCACGCCCATACGCCCACGCCTGCAGAGCGCCGCGGGCCGAATATGTGATAATTCTTCATAATTGACTGACATCATCCAGACGGAGGTGAAGGAGACAAAGGCTCGACAGTGGCGGCAGTGCCTCCGTTTCTGATTCTCCTCCAACTGTTTTGCCTCTCCGACTTGCCACTGCAACCAACAATTTGTAGACAACAATTAAAGACAACCAAAGCCCATTCATCATCATCAGAGGTAGTTGGATTTCAAAATTTATATGCCTGCACATGTCAGGGACGTCGTTGAATGCCTCACCGCGCCACGCCACGCCCGCGTCTGGCATTGAGGTGAAGTCCATTGTCGCCGACATGTCATTGTTGCTATTATTATTGTTGTTGTTGCTATTGTTGTTGTGGGTGTAGTTGCTTGTCGCGCTCAAAAATCAGTAATCAGATCGATTGATAGATAAATTTTCAGTAACTGGCAATGTCAGCATAAATGTGAATTGTCGGCCTCTGTGGCAGGTGCGTGGGCGGCGTTAGCTGCTAAAATTCTACATTTGTCTGCCTCTGCCACATTGCATTGCATTACACTCATCTACAGTCTCTCCTCGAATAAGCAGACGACACATTTCTCAAAAGCTTAAATCGAATTGAGTATACGCTTTAAAATATAATTCGAGTTCTCTTTTATACAAAAATAGTCGAATAAAGAAAATGTTGTCTCTTTAAATAAAAAAAAATTAAATTAATTTAGGGGTTTATAAATTTTAAATAAAGCGATACACGTTTAAAACATTTCAGATATTTTAAATAATATTATAGTGGAAATACATTTTAATATATTAAGCAAATAATTCAAAAAGAAATGAAATGTGCATTGGCATTTCAAGCTGATCAACATTTAATTTTATATTAAAGAGATTTTAGAGAATTAATTATTAAAATTAAGTGTAATTTAAATGGTATTTCATTTGCATAAAAAATTAATATTGCATAAATTTGATTAGATTTCTCCTTCTTAGGCTTTTCTAGCTTATGAGATGCTTTTTATAATTTTTATATATTTCCTATGTCCACAGTGCATGTTTGTTCACATAAATAAATCAATAAAATAAATAAATGTTGAGGTTTAAAAATATTTCTATGTATGTATTTAATTTTATCTTTCAAATAATTTAATTTTAATTCTGTTAAGTTCCTATTATAAATTAATATTTCATTTTCTAAGCAAGAAATATTAGTATTTATTTACATGATCTGCTTTTTCGGGGTTCGACTGTAATGCATTTGTTGTGTTTGGTGGTCGCTTTAAGCGCCGTCTAGTATATTTTCAAGGTGTGTGGTAAAATTCATTTGAATTTTGTCAAGAATTTCATATGATACGAGTATTACGATTAGGAACTGCACCCTCGGCTAAGCTCTGATGATAATGCTGCGAGTAAATATGAACAATTCACACCCAAATAGCCGCTAAAATAAACGGCTTATCACACGCGAGGCGCGTCACAAGTTTTGCTTCATTCTCCTAATGTTGACGCTTACAATGTCAACAGGTTGGCATTGTTGTTGTTGTCGTTCTTGTTGCTGTTGTTTAATGAACTTCAGGCACGGCATATGCTTTTTTGATTACTCACGTTAGCGCTCGTAATGACTCATCGACGTAAGCGTGTATTGTAATTAAATTCCTTTTATTTTTAGTTAAATGTAATCATTTCGCCGGCCTACGAATAAAACGCAACGAACGAACTAAGCACAACAAAACGCACAAAACAGCTGTTTAGTAAATAAACGCGCACGCACACACACATGCACGGGCGAGCGATGTTTCACGTCACGTAACGAAACCACCGCACTACGTAGCTGCCCACATATGGTCTACCCCAAGCTAAAAATAGCTGCGCGAGTTTCTGCTCCCAATTATTGACTTTTTCACTTGCACTTTTCTGGCACACTTTTCCGCACTTGGTTGTTGTTGTAACCACTTACCATGCGTTTCTTGAGACTCAGCGCTTCCGCTCTGTTACTGAAGCTACGCATTAGGATAAGTGCGGCCAACGAAATAGCACTGCCGCCAACAACAACAAATAGTTGCCTCGCTCGGCGGCTGGCATATCTGGCTCCATTGGTGGCACCTTGGCTGCTTCCACTGCCAAAACTATTGTATATGGATCTGGAGATGGCCAAGTGTTGTCGTTGCGGCTGCAGGCATTTTTTAATAACAAATTTTGCTAATTTTGCCATTGTCTAATAATGTGTTGCACGAAACTAAAATATCTAATAGAAGAAAAGACGTAAGACAGCAGGTCTGTCACGTAATGGAGGCTTGGCGTTGCCACATGTTCACAGCTAACACAGAGTTGCATGTGGCATAGTGGGCGCGCAAATGAGTGAGATTTGAATGTCTGCCGAGGAAAATCGATGTTTTACTTTTGGGAAACTTTAATGCAAATATTATTATAATAATAGGGTAATAAAACGTAATGGAGGCTTGGCGTTGCCACATGTTCACAGCTAACAAAGAGTTGCATGTGGCATAGTGGGCGCGCAAATGAGTGAGATTTGAATGTCTGCCGAGGAAGGAAATTCGATGTTTCATTTTTGGGAAACTTTAACGCAAATATTATTATAATAATAGGGTGAGCTACTTGCTTTTAAATTATAAGGAGAACTTGCTTTTTCTTATTATTTCTCTTGAACAATTGTATTTAAACAAAAGTATTTCAGTATTTCTTAGCATTTGCAGCTGGAAAAGCAACTTCGCTTCAAATAGCTTAACTTTAAAATATTCAAATATTAAAATTCTTACAATAATACAAATTTGTGTGTAAACTATTTACAGCTTTATAATTTAAAAGAATCACAGCGCGGTGTCAGCTGTTTATAAAAAATGTTGACGTATTTAATTGCCCATTTAATTGAAAACCCTAAAAATATAAAACCGCAATTTTTTAACTTTAGAGAAGCCCTTTCATACTGATTTGATAGGAGGATCAAGGAGAATAAGTTACTTCTTTGTTTTAAACCCTATTCCTAAAGGGTAAAAGGGTTAACTAGTTTTGTGCGAATGTAACACACAGAAGCAGGAGTGAAAGACCTCTAAAAGTATATATATTATTGATCAGTATGACAAGACGAGTCGTCCATCCGTATGAACATAAGAATCCCGGACATTATAAGAGCCGGAATGATCAAACATGGTATCCAGATTCTGCGAAGCCAATTCAAACACACACTCGATTTAAATTGAAATTTCCGGCACATATTGGAATACTTTTTTTATATGTGTATAGTATATATAGTACTTAAAATTTCCACTTTCTGTTAATGATTACATTTAGAAAGCATTTTATTTTGTATATCCATTTATTTCTAGATCAGACTAAAACTCCAATATACAGACAAGTATGTTTCGCTTAGCAATAGTCAGAGTTCGCGAAAAATTTCTTTTCTTCTTTGAAAACTGTCCCGCATTGCCAATTATAAATGCGTTTGATATTATAAATGCGATCGTCTAAAACTTAGCTACGTGCCCAAAACCACGTCGTCCTGATGTATTTTCCCCCATTTGCGCACTTTGATTGGCCAATAAAAGCGAGTCGAACGTATTTTTGTGGTTTTTCATGCAAATTGTGACGCATTTTCCATGAACCAAAATATATTTGCATATTAACAGGGGATGGCCGGAGGCACTTGAAATATTTGGTGCCTTATCAAACGTAGGTGTACTATACTGGTAAATGGGTCAGCAGCATTTGAATAGAAATGTAGAAATTTGAAGCTCAAATGACTCATTCAGCAATGCAATAAAAACTGTCCGAATATTTAACAAAAATAAATGTCAATGAGATGCCAATAAAAAAATTAGTGTGTCCGATTAAAGAGTGGTATTTGAATTCAATAGAAATGTTCTGTTGGCTGTTGTTGGTGAAAAGTATTGATTTCACTTGATTTTCCGCTTTTCATTTTATGGCACTCGGCACTTGTTATGGGAAACTGAAACTGCGCCTAAACCAAAACCCTTCACAAACAAACAAACAAACGAAAACACACAGGCTATCTGGCTGGTTGGCAGGCAGGCAGGCTGGCAGGCAGGCAGTCGGCACGCAGCTCTAGAATAGCACTACAGGTGAGAGGAGGTGGAGGCAGGTTCTTGGGCAGTTGACACTTCATAAGTTGGCCACAAAATTATACATGGTATGAGCATAAAGCAAAGGCATTGTCTGCGGTCTCTGGCTGCGTCCCGCTGATCCCGCAGTGTTGGCCGCCTTGGCTGTGGGCCATTGGGTTTCGTTTTGCAGGCGTCGTCATCGTCTTCGTCGCCGTCGCCGACGTCTGGGCTGGATGGCCAACTTACGACCAGTTATGAGCTCGTAAATTATTAGTTTCTTATATACACACAGATATATATATATATATATATATATATATACTACTTATATATCCGACTTACATTTGTATTTCTGTGGCGAGCATAGCTCATATTCCCTTTTGCTTTGGCATTTCCTGCGAAAGTTGTAAAAATTGATTGTGATTGTGGCCCTTCTGGCCAAGCGCCAGCGACCAGGCGCGTCCGATATATTAATTCAATACGCAAGTCATAAAAATTGTTTGCAAAGATCCGTTTGCTTCTTTCGTCGTCGCACATAAAACTTGTTTGTTCACGCCTCCAAGTACCTTTCATTGGTGCGGTCAGTGTCCGTCCGTCTTCGTCAACATCCTGCGGCTATTTCCATTGATTTTTCGGTAGTAATAAAGCTGTTTCAATTACTAAACGGTTTTTATTGCCCAAAAATGGAGTAGACTTAAAAGCGAACAATTAAGGCAGCTATAAATGATCAGACAGAGTTGACTGTTCAATACTCTGATTGCACTATTGTGAAGATCTTAACAATTCTGATTCTGATTAATGGAGATGGTTTGGGTTTTATGAATTTTATTTAAACATTACTCGCGTAGAATTGGGCATTCTGTTTATTTTCTTAGATCGTCAGATGGCTAAGCATCCGATTATGATTTTTGCTGTTTTTTAATGATGTAGGTGTGGGCTATAAAGTATTGTAATTTAACATAATTCGTACAAATGCGAACATATTTAATTTATTTACAAGCATAAATTGATCACAGAAAGCAACGAAATCGTCAGATGCTTAAGCGTCAGATGTTTACTTTCACAGAGAATTTTTTTTTGCAAATACTTCATTCAACATTTAAAAGTTGATTTATAAATAGCCTTAAAATGGCTTTTAAGGGGCAGTTTATGGTACTTTTATTAAGTACGGTTGGTTTTGAAAGATTCCTTTAATTATACAATTCCAAAATGATTTACCAGGAAAGAAGCATGAAATATTAGAAAGAAATGACTTCAACGAGTACGTAATCAGATCTCCATTGTTATCGTTTTCAAAAAAACAATTCCATAGAAGCAAGTTATTAGCTGGCAGCTCATATTTATTATATTTTATTAATAGGAAATTGATTTTTAAATTTGTTTATTTATTTAGTTTAATATACTTTTTATTTCTCTATTAAGTATCTATTATTGTTCCACCCCTCCTACGCTTTCGTCCAAACATTGGCAATAATCGAATGGACCCTTCTCTCGAAGGGCTACCGAAGTGGGCTTTTGAAGTTCTTAGCGCCGAGTTCTGTTGTTCGCCTCAGGCACAATGCACGCACATACAGCTGCCGCCTTTATTCTTCAAAAGTTAATTAGCTTTTAGATATTATAAAGTTTCAGAGCTTATATAATCAATGCAGCAGAGAATTCAATGGAACTTAAAGGTGGTCGGTCGCTGCCAAGCGCAGGCAACTCGTAAGCCACTATTAGGTAATGCACGACAAACGTTTGAGTTCGATGTCGGAGGCTGTAAACCGATACAACGGTAAAGTTGAAATTGATATATGGGCTTTAGATAATTTTGACAGTAATGCCGGTAAAGATTATTGAGATATGTCAACGCTTAAATATGAAATTCTTACGAAACTCGAACTCCAATTCTCAATTCAGTCGAACCAAAGTTCAATGTCAAATCAGTTTAAAGACGGGGCAGCGTTTCGTGTCAAGTGTTTTTTTGGGCCTGAAGTTGATGCATCTTTTCTTTATAGCACTTTTCTTGGGTTTTTGTTGTTGCTGTTGTTATTCTTTCGTCATCATCGTTTGCATTCGGGAAGTTGTGATATTTTAGTGAGTTGGAATTTTTTGGGACGCGCCCAGCGGGCCCACCTGTTGTGCAATTCAGTTGAACTGCAGCTCATTGAGTTGTAATTAAAAGCGGTATTAAGCCGACTTTGCGGGCCACACAAAATGCCAGAATGCCGGCAGAATGTGTCGCACATAAATCTCAGAAGTGGACAGCAGCATAGGGGGGTGGGGGGAACATTGATTCATCACTCGGTCGGCGCGCTAGAAGGGTGTTTTGGAAAGTCAAACAAGGCTATCGCATTACCCAAACAAGGATGTTAGAGACAACTTTTCCACTCTCTCTCTCTCTCTCTCTCGCTCTGTCTTCCTCTAGAACAAGTTTTGCGGCTTGTCTTCTAACGACTTGGGCTGCTGGCACTTGATTTATGCTGCCAACATGCGTCCGCGCCGGCCAACCAGGAAAGTAGTTAACAATGGCAGTCGCTTATGAAACGCTCCAATTACATCACTCAAACTACAGTTAAAGTGCCGTGGCAAGTGGCAGAGTGGTAGTGGAGTCTGGAACGTCGCTTGGCTGTCACATTAGGCCTTACTAATCACTAGCCAGCCTCTATGTTATCGCACAACGAGATCTTCAAAGGATTAGAGCAGAGTCTCGCCTCTCCGCCATAGGATGTTTGTATTAACGGGTTAGGAATGGCTTTCCAACATTTTACAGCCGGCGCTTGGCCACCAAGACACCAAGCTACAAGAAACTACAAATTCCAGATCTTGCTAGATATGGTTGCCTACCTACAGCTCTCTAACGATTCTCCTTTTAATTTTATTAATTGTTATTGCAGCGAAATGCCATAAATTGTTGTTAACTGATTTGGTTAATAGGCGCGCCGCCTATCGATTTCGTCTAACAATAAAAATTGCTCACATTAAACTCGAACAAGATGCGAGACAGGTGGCATACAAGACTAATTGAAGGCCCATCGACGGCTTGAACTCTCAGCTTCTTAGCTGAAGTTTCTGCCAACAATTGAAGGCTTAGGCGGCTCCGACTTTGGTTGAGTGGGAAAATGAAAATGAGATAGAAAGTACGAGATAGTCGAAGATTGTAAAGGTTCATTCAGAAAGAGAGCTCTAAGAACAGTAATGATTTATTCTAGAATTATTATCATGAACTGTTTAACAATTAGAAATACAAAGTTTTTAAAATCAAATATTTTATCTGGAAAAGAATATGTTTTTATGGATTATGAATACACATATAGTATTTGAGGAATTAAAGCGGCCTCAAAAATAGCGAAATGGAAATTTTATAATATGATTTATTCTAGAATTATTATCATAAACTGTTTAACAATTAGAAATACAAAGTTTTTAAAATCAAATATTTTATCTGGAAAAGAATATGTTTTTATGGATTATGAATACACATATAGTATTTGAGGAATTAAAGCGGCCTCAAAAATAGCGAAATGGAAATTTTATAAAATGAATTATATGAGTTTTTGAAATAAAAAAAATATTAAAAAAAATTATTATCTAAAAGTATTTCTTCAAAATATATAAAAAATATATAAAATTTTGCCCACTTTCATTATTATATTATTATTATTATGACGCACTATTTCGCCTTAAAATGGAACTGAGCTGGATTTGTTGAAGTGTTTTCATTGATCATAAATATTTTTTTGAAATATTTTTTAAATACATCGTGCATTATATAATCAACATTTTAATTTTTAAATTTAATTCGGCCCCCCCTTTTGGTAAAAGCTGCATACGGCCTTGTCCACATCAACATAAATGAAATTAGTCGAAGAAGGAACATATTTTTAAACAAATAGGTGCGTGCTTTCTGGTATTTAGGATACAATTACCGAATTCTTAAAGAGTAGAAAACAAAAATTTCATAGTATCTTTAACATGTGAAGACTAACATTGGAAGGCTAGAGTCTTTATCAAAGGGGTGTGGGTTTGGAGGATAACGTTTGGATGATATTTTAAAGAAAATGTAATCAATCAATCAACAATCCATCATAGGTTGACATTCTGATGCATGCAAGACTATAACAAATCTGTATAATCTTAATTTATTGGATATCCTCCTTTTAATATTAAGACCATCCCAGCCACTGCTCTAACTGTGACAAAGTCAAGGTTCCATAGGTATTCAAGGTGTCATTCGTTAAATTACAAGTGTGTTATTCATCTGAAAGAATTCCACTAAATTGCTCAACAGTTTCTCATCGTAAAAATCAAGTAACGCTCCCCATCAATTTGCCAACAAAGAGAATAGAGGGAGAATTTATTAAATTGCCATCGATGGCTGCCAAATTAAAATGTTGAGGGCGTAGCGTGGCAGAACAGAAAAATCGAAAATGGTGTTATAAAATGTGTGACAGATTTCTTTTGATATATAAGTCTCATAAATTAGCGTTCATAATTAAGGAGACCTCTTGGGCGTGGCATGCCAAATGGCAGCCAAGTGGCAGCCAAATCAAATACCAAATCAAAGCGAAAAGCATAAATATTTTGGCAAATTAAATGTTATTAATATAGCTGTCGTCATATGGAGAAAAATCGCCAGCCATAAAGATCGGCATGGAATGCAGTCGTGAGGCGCTCGTTCTGAGACGTTCGCGCATGTCTGTTGCGCATAAGTTCTGGGCTCGAATGCTACTGACATTAATGGCTTCTCAAAAGGCGCCAGCTGCTGTGAATCACACGAATATATAAATGCCTAGGCCATTGGCTACTACTCTGTACAACTGGAATATGGGTCAGTCAGTGTTTGGATGGGCTCCATAAATAATACTAAGACCATAAAATAAAACATAAACTGCTCGATCATAGAACACCAATTTAATGGCCTTTGTCGCATTGGCGCCTCAAAGCTGCACAAATATGAACCAGCTCGTAAATATTACTTAAAACAACTAGGGAAACTAAAGTCGGGTGTCCCGACTATGAAATACTCTATACATATGTGTAGAATAATTATGCGTGTATGTGTGTGGTTCCAAAATACACATTTTCTGCGTATTCACATAAGGCGCCTGGGACTAAAATTTTGTGTTCCTAGGTCTTATAGTCTCCGAGATATAGGCGATTTTACGACTGGAAAATCGGGAAACCCCCCATAGGGGAAAAGTGGGGGGAAAATCAAAAAAATAAAACAAACTTGCACAGCGTACACACGTAAGCCATCTTTGTGCAAAATTTGGTGTCTCTAGCTTTTATAGTCTCTGAGATCTAGGTGTTCATACGGACAGACAGACGGATAGACAGACAGGGCTAGATCGACACGTCTTGTCTCGCTGATCAAGAATATACATATATATGTATATACTTTGTGGGGTCTGCCACGCCTCCTTCTGCCCGTTACATTTTTCAGCTCGCGCAAGCCTAATATAAATATACTCTTATACATTTCATGTACAGAGTATAAAAAGGCAGCTCCGAGTCGCTCGCTGTCTGGCCGGGACATTGGCCATGAAGAGAAGTGTTTGCTTCGATGCCATTGACAAGGCAAAGGCGCAACTTTGTAACTGGCCGGCTATTGGCAACCTGTTGGGCTAGTTAGTGGCAATATTATCAATCAAATGCTTGTGTGTTTTCACAATTTTATGGCCAGTTTATGGACAGTGGAACGCCTTGAGGCGTCTGTTCCAGTAAATAGTTAAGCTGATCATTGGCCATTGACCACGCCCTGTTTTATGTCTGCATAAACTATCAAATTGTGAGGCTGGAGTGCCAATTCGGAGCAATTATGGATGGATCTACTGTTTGGAAGGCGTTTGAAACTATTCCTTAAGAAAAGTTCGCAGCGACAATAATTGATTCGGAAATTAAGTTTAGGTTAGGTTGAGGTGGCTGCCACGCCCTTGAAGGCTAGAAGGGACCTATTTCAAAACTAATTTTATTTAATCTTTAATCTCTGTAATGCAACACAATAAATAATAATAAACATATATACAAGTATACAACAAAAAATTTGTGTGTCAGGGAGACATGCGATTGAAGTGAAACTTCGTGGTTCGAAATCGATGTAATCGATGTTTCACAAAAATGTTAAACATCGATTTGTTTTTAGAGAGTCGATTAATCGCATAAAGTCAAATGCACACCAAAATTTACAAACTATTACTTGAAATTGTCGCTGATAATGTCTTATTGAAAACGAAAATTATTTTTTTTCAGCTTTACGATTAAACGATTTTATTTTTGGGGAAATCGAAAAAAAAATCGAAAAGGATCGCCAGATCGTCGCCACTTGTGTCACAGAAAAGGTTGTCGTTCGAGCAGACAAAACCCTGAAGTAAGAAGTTTCACTTCAAAAAATAAATAATACAGTTTTTAGAAGATATTTATATTCGTTTCAAAAAAAGACTCAGTATGTACTTATACTGCTCTGGTTTCTACGGCTCTGATTATAAAGGCTTAACATCCACAAAACGGCACTGACTTCAATACCTTAGTTTACAATTTATTTGTTGGATCAGTATATCATATATATCGTAATATTGATCTATATATGATGCACGCATTTATTCTTATTAATACTTGGTCTGATAGAAGACCCAGATATAAGACCTCTACATAGCATATAGCTGATCATATTTATAGTGTAAGTTTTATAAAAATTAAAGCCCAAGTCTTATTATAATTTAAGCCCAAGTTGTTAGTCTATGGTCATAGTTTTCAATGTATACCTGTCAGATATCAATGATCATACTAAAGCTCATAATTCATTGTTCTACTCGAATCATTTTAAACCTTTATTCATTGGAATTTTGAAAGTTCAAAGTTTCCATCCTCTCACCAAAATAATATTTGGGAACTTTCCAGCCTTGCTATGTCTGTGAGATCAATCGGGAAAGCTATGTTGGACAGTAAGAAAGAAAATGCTACTGCTTTTTTAATCGTTTGATAGGATCTACTTGTAGCTAGGTCTGGCTGTGTGACAACTGATCGGATAATGGCCGGTAAGTATAGCCTACCACAGAAAAAACCTCGCTCCTTTTTAGTTTTTGAAATAATTTAGCTATTTTCCAAGTTTGCAAATAAGACCTTTAATCTAACTTTTTCGCATGTAAGGTCAGACTTACAATTACTTGGAAAACTTTTCTATATAGAAATTAAATTTGACTGACAATATGCCTCGAATTATTGGTATGTTGTTGGGTTTATTGCAATTGATTTAGTGGATAAACAATTAAAAGCTAAGTTTTAAATATTTTAAAGAACATAATAATGTTTGCGTTCGTTCGTTATTTAGGTAAGTATGTTAAGTTTTGTGATGTCAAGCCTCGGTGGCTCTTAGGTCTGTAGGTTTTGGTAGTACAAATCTTTTGGTTCTACATGTGGAAACACCGGGATAACAGCTTCCACTGCTGGCCAGGCTAGATCTTATCTGAGTATTGTTGAGCATATAGTCAACGAGTGTATTATTCAGTCCTTGTAGAAGGCCGATGAGGTCGAGGACGTACAACGTGGGCGTAGTTTCTACATAATTCGGACTGATAGTAACAAGGGCCTCATCGGTTTTTTGGGAAATCTATAAATGGAAGTAAAAACATAAACAAATCTATTTGAAACGTTTAGCCAGCCATTGAGCAAACCAATTGAAGACCCTCGACCGCTGTGTGGACTCCTTCGACGGCGCGCTGCGTGTTGTTGCCCACGGAGGAGAAGGTCGGCGATATACGTTCCACAAATCCAGTCCAATGCATCCGAATTATGTGCCGCACATTCTCGAGCAGCGGACGCTCCTGCAGATGTGAGCGCCTTCGCTCCCACTCATCGTCGGGCATCTGAAGGGGCTCTTCGGCGTTGGCCGTGGTCGGCTGCCGCACCATCTCGAGTGGCAGGGCTTGGGTGCGACTCAGTTTGTGGCGCTTGAATATGCGGAAAAATCGCTGGAAAGGCATCACACAACAGGCGGCATGCCAGAAGGTTCGACGAACGGCATTACTCTTGCCAGGAGCACGTCTCCACTTTTCTTGGCCGCCAGCAAATCGCCGAGCTTGGCGCAAATACCGCTGACGTCTCAGCAGCTTACGACGTCGATTGCGACGCTTCTTGGACTGCCAATTGAGCCTAAAATACGATTACATAATTGCTAATTTGTTTCAAATATAAAGGCATACCTATGGGAGTCCAAGAGGCGTCGCATTTGGCTGTAAGCATCTTCAACATCCATTTCTAAAACTGACATTACGTGGGAAATATTTTCGGTGACTTACGTAAAACATATATTAAAAATTTTGTAGCCTGAACTTGTCGAGACATTTGAAGCAAATAAATACAAATACTTGCTATCCAATGTAATACTACTTAGAATATTGTTTCTTCAACGAAAACAAAGCTTAGAAAATTAAGAAACATTCGTATTTTTTGTCAACAAAATTGGTCATTTACTTAGTACTTATTTAAAACGTTTATTTATGCTTTTCAGTTATAATTACCTCAGAACTAAGAAAACACTTGTATATTTTACGAAACGTTAAGAAATATTCTTGTTATTATTAAACAATCTTTAGCATTTCTTTACTAAAGAAAAATTACCTTCATCTTAAGAATGACATTTTTTTTAAACAGTTCTTCTAATCTGATACCATTTATGAAAAAATACCTTCATATTAAGAGAAAGGTATTTTAAACTTATTATTTTAGGAAAATGTATTCCTCTCTAAAGAAATGATTTTAATAAATATTTCGCATTTTATTTAGAAATTCATTTATAAATTCATTTCTTCGTTAACGATTTTTTTTCTAATCTAAGAAACTATGTTTCGAAATTTCAAGGCATGGTTACCTTTATATCTATACTAATTATAATTATAAAGAGTAAAGATTTGATTGTTTGTTTGAATTGAAAAGGCTCCGAATCTACTGGACCGATTTAATGGATTCTTTCACTGTTGGGAAGCTACACTATCGACGGTGAACATGGGCTATATTATATTTGCAAAAAAGGTGTAAAAAAAAAATACCTTAAAAAGCTATCTAAAATGAATCAGAAAAAAAAACATAGAAACACCGTTTTGCAGGGTTTGCAAATAATAAACAAATAGCAAACAAAAAGTTTGCTTAATAATTAAAACAAGATTAATATACATAATTTAAATAATAATATCTAATTTAAAAACAACGAAAAAAGTAATAATGCGAACTTATAACGTCGACGCGCTTCTACTTTAGATATAAGCTGTGGCGCAAAAGTGGGATTAACTAGTTGGGAATTTTATGTGCTCCATATTTAAAATATAAGCATCGATGTTTCGGTTTAATGTTTGTGGGTTTCAGTGTTTCCAACTATTTAGAAGGAAAAAATCTGTTTTTGACGGAAAGGAGAACGAAAATTACAAAAAGCGGAAAAAAGCTAAATGTATTTTTTAAAAGCCAGAATTCCCGCTTCCCGCAATTTCGAATATTTTCCCGCAATCTCATTTCAAAAACAAACAGGGGACGGGAAAAAACACTGGTTGGCAACACTGATTTTATTTATTGGAAATGAAAGACCGAAACTGTATTCAGAAAACATATATTTCATTAATGTTATAAAAAGAATTATTAGCAACACAGTTTTAAGAAAAAGAGTTTTCTACTTTTTAGAAAGTATCTTCCATTCTAAAAAAATATGTTCATTTATTTCTCGCCTAAAATTTAAAACAAAAAGTTTTTGAAAATAGGGCTTTAAGTGCAATTTTCTACCGGAGTATTTCTGGAGTGTTGTCTTCAGAGAAGAAGAAAATAAAAATTCGTTAAGTTCTGAAAGTTGTAGAAATATATTTCCACAGAGCGGGTATTTTCATGTTCAAAGTGAAGAATGTGCTATAAAATAAGGAAAGACGTACGACCCAAAATTAATATTTATTAAGAAGTATCCGAAATATGTAGATTATACTGCCTTTAATGGCGCACGCATCCAACACAGAAGGGACAGCGATTATTATGGCATCTGACTGGTGCCGATCGGCGCTGACTATAGTGGGGTCGACGGCTCTGGTGCTGCGGTCTCTCCTCCGGAGGCGCTAACCAAGCTAAGGTGGGTTGAATGATCTTGTACCAGACGACCACAGCAATTGGATACAAAATGGGAGCCGCAATGCAAACTATACAGGGCATGGCGCTAATTCTTTGAATTGGAATTTTTTTGCTAGAAATTTTGCTGCTAGATAGAAATGAATGTGTGCACAGAGACTGTAAATTCAAGGCCTACCTTGTGTGATTTATAATTAGTGTTGCAATTGCAATTGCAATGGAAAGAAAATATTTACAAATCAATTATTATGATTAGCGGCTGCTGCAACTCACTTCCAGCATAATCGATCACCCAGCTGGGTGGCAAAGGCGGCAAAAATTTGCATACATAAAAGCGAGCACTCATGACGAGTGTTGTTCTCTGCCATCAACAACAATAAATAAATGTTCAGAGACAAAAGACAGCGGCATTTTTGCATTACTATATAGCATTCGATACGATCTAATTGATTTGATTTGAAATGTTCCGCCTCAGCCCGTTCTCATCCCAGTAGGGGCAATCATGTCGCATTGGCGCCAATTTCGCGTGCTCGCATATTGTTGACAGACAACTATTACAATTTTATTAACATAAATTATTGTTTGTTTTTTATTTGCTGCAGCAAAAATCAATAATGCTTAATGCCTGACGGAATTCCATAGCGTCTGAGTCGCTGCCTAAATCAGTTAATTGCCTGAATGCACTTTTGATTGGCAACCCACTCGGCTCTAATATTAATTGATGAAGTGTGTGCGGCACTTATCACCAAATGTTTGATAAAAAACTAGTTGGTAGCCATTATACGAGTACTACAGTTGTTAACATTTCATAAATCGGCTCAGACGAATTGCAAAAACCCATTACATTTATGCAATTTCACATTAATTGGGTAACCGTTTCGGACGTCTTTAAACATTTTGAAAATATTTATATGAGCAACAATTTTCCAATTTTTTAAAAAGTGTAGTCTCACTCTTAAATATCTTTCTTATAAAATTTGAGAGTGAGTTGAGAGAAATACTACAAATTTTTCAAAAAGTGTAGTCCCACTCTTCAATAACTTTTTTATAAAATTTGAAAGTGTGTTGAGAGAAACACTATAAAAAACTCTTTACTCTAAAATTTGATTTCGATACCCAAATAAACAGAAAAGTTTTTACAACTATGATTGATTTTCGCACCGTTATTTTACTTATATATAGTAGTGAACATATTATATAGTAAATAGCTACGATATCGTAATTAACAAGAAAGTTCTTGGTACTACGAGTAAGTGTTATTTGTTTAGTATTAACTATTATTTTTATTACATTCCATAGCGACCTTAATTTGTACGACAAATTGCAGACTATATGTTTTTATAGCCTGTCAGTGCTGCCATAATTTTTTGAGCAAAAACAGCTAGATTGCCAAAAAAAAAAAGCTAAAAAAGCTAAATCCAAGGCAAAATAAGCTAAAAAACAAGCCGGCTTTAAAAACACAATTTTCTTGGTTAAATTTAATTTTCATATTAATTCTATATGCTTAATTCATGATTTATAATAATAATATGAGATTCTTGTAAAAATAAAATCAAGCTAAACATTTTAAAATTCTACAGTTGTTCATCTAAACTCACTGCCTCTTCGTCAGGATAATTTTGTTGTTACGATTAGGTCCGTATCTTAAATTGAAAATTAATTAATACAATTATGAATATGGTTTATTTTGCTTACAAAAAACCTAACTTGAGCTTAAAATGGAGTTAAGCGATTTAAATTCATCCCATTCCTTATTTTGGATTGAACTAAGTTCACCTGGCTGAAGGCCAGGTACAGGATATTTAAGAGTTGAGCTCGCTCGACTTTAGCATTCCTTTCTGGTTTTCTAATGTTGTATTATGATCGCAATTCTTGAAGTCATCAAATCATTTAACATACTATATGTCCATATCATATACTATATATGTATGTAGTATATAAATTCATTGACAGCTTTGTAACGCAAAATCATGTCGCTGCCAAAGAACACGACAATTTGTTTTGTAACTTAATATGGAACAAAGCACAAATAAAGTGAAACTTGTGGCAGCTGCTGACATGCGGCAGGCGCTAAAGATACAATGTGCACTGTCCGATGCTCAGAGTTTCAGATACAATTGCAAACTGACAACAAGAACAACAACAAGAATGGCAACAAAAGCAAAACTACAATTAATAAAGTCAAGTCGTTGGGCATAAAGTTTAGCATTGCTGACACATTACAAGAAGACCAACCTTGAAAATGTTTGCTCGCGTTTTTAAACGCGCACAAAACGCGCCGGGCCACTCTTATCGCAGCGAGCCAAAACAAGGTGTAAAATGGGCAGCCACGTTTGTCAGGATAAGGCAGCGAAGCGTTTAATAATGTGACAGGCCCAGCTGCCGTCAGCTCATTTAGTTTAAACGCTCAACAGACACCTACAATCATACAAGCACATGCCCAGAGTTAAACTACACTGAACAAAATTCTTGGTGTTTCCCGTGGAATAAATTGAAACATGAAAACCAATATACAACCATTTGGGGTTCAATGTGTGCATACAAAAAATATAGGTCCAATCTAACTGAAGGGTTAGTAATCAAGAGCTAGTTACACATAGCAAATAAATATGTAAATTATATCACATGTTCTCAATAATTTAATATTCAGGATAACAATATCTGCGTCGTACAAAGAAATAATTGTGATTTCTATATATATTTTAATCAAATAATATTTCTAATTGTGTCTTAAAGAAAAGTTTGTTCATAGTACAAGTATGTATTTACTTTTAATTTGAGAAATAATACTGCTTCGACGATATTTAGTGCATTTTAAAATATAAAAGATGTTCTCAATAATTTAATATTCATGTTAACAATATTTATATATTTTAATCAAATAATATTTCTAATTGTGTCTTAAAGAAAAGTTTGTTTATAGTATGTATTTATTTTTATTTTTGAGAAATAATGCTGCTTTGACGATATTTAGTGCATTTTAAAATATAAAAGATGTTCTCAATAATTTAATATTCATGCTAAAAGTCTTAATATATTTTAATCAAATAATATTTCTAATTGTGTCTTAAAGAAAAGTTTGTTTATAGTATGTATTTATTTTTATTTTTGAGAAATAATACTGCTTCGACGATATTTAGTGCATTTTAAAATATAAAACATGTTCTCTATAATTTAATATTCATGTTAAAAATATTTATATTTTTTAATCAAATAATATTTCTAATTGTGTCTTAAAGAAAAGTTTGTTTATAGTATGTATTTATTTTTATTTTAGAGAAATAATACTGCTTCGACGTATTTAGTGCATTTTAAAATATAAAAGATGTTCTCAATAATTTAATATTCATGTTAACAATATTTATATATTTTAATCAAATAATATTTCTAATTGTGTCTTAAAGAAAAGTTTGTTTATAGTATGTATTTATTTTTATTTTAGAGAAATAATACTGCTTTGTCGATATTTAGCGCGTTTTAAGATATAAAAGATGTTCTCAATAATTTAATATTCATGCCAAAAATATTAATATATTTTAATCAAATAATATTTCTAATTGTGTCTTAAAGAAAAGTTTGTTTATAGTATGTATTTATTTTTATTTTAGAGAAATAATACTGCTTTGTCGATATTTAGCGCGTTTTAAGATATAAAAGTTGAGTAATAAAAATGCAATCGAGTTATACGCCTGCCTGTTTCAATCAGCCCTCTTCCAAGGCTATTACAATTTAAAACTTTTCATCGAGTCGGATGTCGAGACCGACCATATCAGATCGCTTTATCATGAAGCTGTTATACAGATGACAAATCGTAGCAAGAGGTTCAGACTGAAAATGCGATTTATAAGGATGTTGGAACTAAATGGAATATTTCAAATATTGTTGCTTTTCATTCAAAGGTCGTGAAGGATTATTTTTCTCCCAGTGTGTAAGTGGAAGCAGCCTTAGGCGGCAATTGTGGCAGTTCTCTAGCCCCCTAGGACCATTTCTCAACACAAATACATGCATACATAAATACATATGTATGTATGTATGGGTGCGTATAATTTTCACTTGCCACAGTTTCGGTTACGCTTTAATTAATCTAACATCTTGAACGTTGACTTAATCCCACAGTTACAAGGAAAAAGGGTCAAAGGTTGACAACAGCAGAGGGAAGCAGCGGCGGCAGCGGCAGCGGCGACTGTTGAGGCGAGCACATTAAAGTGAAGCGTTTGTGGCACGGTGCGGTGCGGGGGTTAATTAAGTCATTAGCCCAAAAAGTGTCCTGCTGCTTGCGCCTTAATTAATCATTTTAATTGTGCAGCGAACGCGCGCGTTTCCTCGTTCCAAGGACAATGCGTGCGCAACAGTCCAACAGTCGAGAAGTCGGCCCAAGTCCCTGCCTTGATCGTTCCCCGCAGACCAGGGGGGGGGCATAACTAGTCGTAGGTTATTTATAGGGACATTCTTGGGTTGAATGTTACGAGCGCCGAGTGTTTTGTATTGGCATGTGCGTCGTTACACATATCTACATAGATATGCAGAAGTATGGGTGTTTGTTGCGTAGCCGGCATGCTTAATTGGATTTGAAATACTCCAGATATTTGCCACCAAATAGAGGGACCGCCTAGCACTTAGCTAGAGTTGAACGAACTAAATAATTGCATTTCAAGCAATGGCTTTGTCAAAGACATTTCAAATCTGCTCCGTTCTCTGAAGATATGTATGAAGTGAGAATGAAAGAACAATAGAAATACATGAGAGGTAGAACGATCCAAAGATGGGGTTAAGAAAGATACTTTCTATTAGCTGTGTGTTCCAAAAGCCCTAGCATGTTCAAAACCTCATCATAAATAAAATAATTAATCGTTAACTTTGCTTAATGTTTGTCCGCAATGGACAGTTTTAAATAAAAACGCTGTTAATACAAAAAAAGAAGTGTTTAAATCGCAATACAGGTCTGTTGAAATTTACAAGCTAGCTTTGAAAACTCAAAATATTGTAAAATGAGTTTTGCTCAAAAAACTTAATTGCCAATACAGTAAAGTGTTTAAGAAAGGACTGACAGCCTATTTCACTGGTTAGTATAAGTTGGTTTTGGCAACGTGGAAGACTTCCAAGTAAAGAATAACATCACAAATTTCAGAGGTCCGTTTATGTAAATTTAAATTCCTACCTTCGTTGGCTACCTTCCATGTCAAAGGAAGAGACGGAAATGCTTTCCCTACACGTCAAGACAGAGCTTCCGCAAATTATTAACGTTTTTGAAAGGAATTCAAAAAATTCAAAAGTATTTTCAACAATAAACCATTCTCATCTCATATTTTGTAAAGAACAAATGTTTTTATTTACATATTCACTTTTTATGAAATTCTAAAATATTTGCACTTACTCAGAAAATTCTTAGCAAAAACTCTATTTACAAATAGATACAAAAATAAGATTACTTATCATGTAAGCTTGTATTTGCTTGTTAATTTTGTGTAATTCAGTGCAATTCGTTTCCGGATTTGAAGTATTGTTGCAGCATTTCCGGCAGTAAAATTTCTTATCAAAAGCTGTGACGTAGCTCTAGTAATTTCCCAAAACTTTGACTGCATTCTTCCTTCTTTGTGTGTATTAAGTTATCAAGTTCAATGTCAAACTTTAAAATGTGTGTCATGTGATTTTAAATCACAATTCCAATTGATAAGTTAAACACCAAAGTGAATTATTTATTGATAAGTAGTTAAATGATTTTCAGTGACGTTTAAAGCCGACGTCCTAAGCTACCAAATAAGTGTCTGTGTATTTTAAGAGGTGCATTTCTATTTACGTAAGTCGGTCGAAATTTATTTTTAGGAGCGTGAGAAATGAAATTTTATTGCTCCCATTAACTGATTTGATTTATCGGCATTTTAAAGTTCAAATTTGCGCGCACTAGCCCGTAAAATATTCTGCACGTAGTGGGCCAAATAAATCTGGCATTCAATTGTTTGCTTAATGATGCAAATTTAAGTACGTGCTGCGTGTTTTGCTTTAATTGCCTGCGCAAAAAGGGTAATAGTGCTGCCGATCTACTTAAAATCCAACTCTCAACGTCAATTCCACAAGCCATTGCCCAAAAGTCAAGGTTCTAATCGGCCAGCGCACGCCCCTTGCTTCTACTATGACTAATGCAAAATGTGATTAAAAAACTCGTTTTCCCTCGAAATTCGCAAATTGTCAACAAGTTGCCAGCAGGTCCGCTCAAATTAGCGCTAACAATATTCATTCAAAATAAAAGTGCCTACGCGCTAAATAGCACACGTCGAAAACGACGGAAACGCGCTTGAAACGCGCCTGAAACGCACACGAAACGCGCCTGGATTACGTGCGGCAGCACACTGTTCAAAAGTGTCGTTATGGTGCACAAAATTTGAATTTGCTTGAAAACAGCAAGAAATACTGAATTAAGGAATAATTGAATGAAATTTTAATTTGGCATACAGAGTTTCTGCAAACTTTTAATTATTATTATTATTAATATTCGGATTACAACTTTTCTCGATACAATTTATTAAATGTTTAACATTTTAAATGAATATGTGAGTAGTTTTTAACTAATGTAACTTTTTTAATGTGTATAATAAATTAATAAAAACGAAGGGAATGAAATTTTAATTTGGCATAAAGAGTTTCTGCAAACTTTTAATTATTATTATTAATATTCGGATTACAACTTTTCTCGATATAATTTATTAAATGTTCAACATTTCAGATGAATATGTGAGTAGTTCTTAGCTAATGTAACTTATTTAATGTGTATAATAAATAAATAAAAACGAAGGGAATGAAATTTTAATTTGGCATAAAGAGTTTCTGCAAACTTTTAATTATTATTATTAATATTCGGATTACAACTTTTCTCGATACAATTTATTAAATGTTTAACATTTCAGATGAATATGTGAGTAGTATTTAACTAATGTAACCATTTTAATATAAGTATATAATAAATAAATAAAAGCGAAGGGTAGTGGTTCGTGAGCTAAGACTAAGACGGTCCTACATGCAAATAATGTTCATACAAATTTTTTGTAGAAGAACATGATAGTGTCTTCGTTTTAATTAAAATAACAATAGTTTCATGACAGACTCCTTCTTCGTCTTCGATATACATATTTGGGTAAAATTATTGGTCTGTCTGACCGCAGCTTTAGGCACTTGTATAGACGAATTGATTTACAAATGTTATGTTGTTAACCTTAGCAAACAATGGAACTTTTTATACACTGAACAGTAAAGTAAATGTTGTGGGATAATTGGAAAATATTTCAGCCAAAAATATATGGTTAGTTCCATCTACATTTGGGAGTAAATCGACAGGATTTTTCTGAACTCATACGTGCTTGCTTTGGTCACATTAAGCTATACCAAAGGCACCTCTTCGATCCTGTATGCGCAAACGTTAGCCAATTCTGCAATACCCAAGGCTACTAGAGTTTAGATAAACTGAATTTATATATAGTTTTAATTAATTTAAAGCTAAATATAACTAAAAAGATAGTAAAATAATATATTAAATGTCTTTTAAAATATATATGTTTGTTCCCTAAGAACTAGACAAAAGTAATTATTGAAGCTTCTAGGAGATAACATTTTTTGTTAGCAACTCTTATATACCTGGTACTCTTTTTTATTGCTTTATTTTTGATAATATAGTAAAATCCTAATTAAAGCTAAATATATGTGCATATAAAAGTTTCAAATGCACTAAAAGTTATAATAATCTAAAGTAGAAATTTATATTGTTTTACCAAATTTATATAGCTTACATTATGGGTAAAATCAATAATTGTGAATAATTGTAGGTTTTTCAAAGATGGTACTGTTTTCTTATAACTCGCATCCGAAGAAAGCAAAAGAAAGAATAGGGTCATAAAGAATATACATATGTATTTTTAAACAACAGATCAAGAACTGAGTTCCAGAATTTTGGAAACGGATGGTACAAAATTAACCAACCGTTGTAGATAGACTTATTAGCTCCATGGCAACATGAGATTATTTTAAATTTGCGATTTCCCCCACCTTTCCGCTCTAAAGATTTTCGCATACATAATAGTCTATACAACTATATATAAATCAATTGTACTTTTCGTTGTAATTTTATAACTCAAGAATTGGCTCACCTACCCAGACCAAATGTTTAGGCTTTGTTCGGACTATTTAGTAGATGGTTTATGTGAAGTTTGCACAAAATCGGTCGAGCGGTTCTTCATTTATCAAATTTTTTGTAATAAATGGCGGATTATTTTGTTAATGGGGAAGGAACCATGTTTTTCACATGGCCAACTTTATGTTGCCTGTCCCAGAGTCGGTACCCTCAGCCTTTTCTTTATTTATGCTCAAAATGGAAAAACAACAAATATTGTTTAACCAAATGTTTTGGATTAAATTTAAAAATAGCTAGCAATTAATAAAGTATTTTTTTGGTTGAATAAATGAATGAAATGTTCCAACTAAATAATAATAATAATTACAATATAATAATTAAATAATTTATATGTATGTTATTCTTTTTTATGTAGATCCTATAGTCCCCAGAAGATTTACTTTCAAATAAATAAAAAATAAGCTACTCTAGTGCAGCAGCAGGTTCGAAGGCTTGTTCTACATATAACAGAGGGATGTACGTTTTTTTTTTGTCTTTTTAGCCTTTTATTAATGAAGATGTTCAGCATGTGCTCAAGTGTAAGTTTAAATATTTCTGAAAAATGAAACAAATTTTAAAAATTTAAAAAAAAATACGCTATTCTGGTGCAGCAGGTTCGAAGGCTTCTTCTACATATAACAGAGCGACGTACGTTTTTTTTTTTGGCCTTTTTAGCTTTTTATTAATAAAGTTGTTCAGTTTATGTAAGTTTAAATATTTTTGAACAATTGTAGAATTTTTAGAGATAGTACCGCATAAGCTCGTTTTAAAATTGTGGTAAATATTTCGGAAAATTAGCTCAAAATTATAGAAAATGTATTTATTTAGAAAATCTAGCAGTTAGGCGCCCAATTTAGTTTCATTCTTGCACCTTGATAGGCCTGCGAAGAATGCAGCGCCCCCATGTCCAAACACCAGAGTGAAAATGCAGGCGAGCGAGCGAGCGGCCGCAGTCCGACTACGACGAAGCAGCGGCGGCGGCGGCGGCGGCGGCAGCAGCAGCCGAATGGGCCCGAAGTGTAAACGGCCGGAGACGAATGGCGGCAGTGGCGGTTGGCTGTGGACCTCGGCTGACGCTGGGAATGAATGAAAATTTTAGTCACTCGCTGGCACACGATTTGACAACACACTGAGCGGAGGGCCGACGGAACGAAAGTCACAAAATATTCGAATTTGCTTTTATCGGGCGCGTATTCGTATTCGGTCGCGATCGCTTGGGAATTATTGTTCCGGTTTGGCGTTACAGTTTTCGAAAACGCACAGCAAAATTCGTTATAATTGCTAAATAGTTCTGCACTTCCTAGCATGGAGTAAAGGGTGTTTTTGGGGAAACTGTGCTAACATTATACAACCAGCCAAGAGCAAGAGCAACTCGAGCTATCTCGGCGATCTGTGCGTGCAACATCGTCGAACCTTCAACAATTCGGTTTTCAGTCTGCGGTCGCTTTTCCAACTGTGCGCCTCACGCAGTTTTCCGTTTTTCAGTTTTTCAATTTTTGAAATTGCCGCGTGCCGTTTCGTTACAACAAATGGCCCATAAATTTTCAAAAGCCTAACAAATTTACAAAAAAAAAAATATATACAAAAATAAGTGAAAAATTTCAACAAATTATTTGTGACGTGCTAAATCCAAAGATAAAGTGCTCCAAAAAAAAGTTCACAAATAGTACAACAACAAAAAAAAAGAAGAAAAGATCATAAAATATGTTGAATTTTTACTGCAAAAAATTTTTGAAAATTTTTTAAGTGCTCGCAGTGTAAAAGCAACAAACAGAAAACAAGAGCTGTAAAAATACAAAGAAAACAAACAAAAAACAACAACAAAGAGGTGCGTAAATTTTATGTTTTATGCGTAAAAATTCCATTACATAAGTTTTAAGTTATTATGTATGTTTCAAATTTTTGTGCAAAATCGAATTAAGTTATTTTTGAATGGCAACAAATGCTAATATTCTAATGGTTTTTCGTGTGGGTTTTGTGTTTATTTCTTCAAAATTATTAGTGACAAGAATTTGGAAAATGCCGTCAATTCATATACACACATGTATATATTTAAATAAATGTATATTCTATATTCATATGTTTGGCTGAATGTCATATATTTAGCAAAATTAAAAAACCATAAATAGTTCAAAGAACTGCGTTGTTTCGACAAATGTTGGATTAAGCGATAGGTGGGTAGTGACAGTGATTTCTTTGCTTTCGGCAACAATTTAGATTGACGTACAACAAACAAATAAATCACGAGCTAAAACGCATCATTTTCAAGTGTTGTTGCAATACATTTGTGTATAGATATATATTGCGTCAATTTAAGTTGAAGGTCTTGAACTAAAAGTGCAACTTCTTGATTCTTTGACAAAGCGATATTCCTATGGATTGTTTTCCTTCGGAACAATTTAGATGACGTTTAGGCTGTGCTAGATAGATGTGTGTTGAGTTGATTAACTTGAGCGTCTTTAACTAAAAATGCACCTTCTTGAAGTGCTGTCCAATTTTTATCCGTCAATGGACATTTGTGAAAAAAAATATTATCCTGGAATAAAATAAATTTAAATTTTTATAAATCGAATGGCGTTTTTAAGCATTCACAGAAGTATTTTAAATATTATACAAACATTTAATTTTCGTTTACTTCATTTCTTTAAATGTTAACATTAAATATTTCCGTAAAACTCAGCTGTCTTCGTTTAACTTTTCACAAATTGAGTAAATTTGTTAAAATTAGTTTCAGTTCCTTTGTGCAGTTATTTACTTTCTTATTGTGTGTATTGAATTTTTTTTTTGAATAAATAACTCATTTCGTACAATTCAGAAAATGAAGCGAAATAGATTTCGACAAATTTGCGAAATTCGAAATTCGCTCAAATATGTAATTGGAATCATCATGGTTTTATATAAATAATACCGTTGTTTAAATGTAACAATTAGCTTAATCTCTTTAGGTTTTTTTGAGTTCTCATTCGTTTCTAAAAATTTAAACTTTCAGCGCCAAAAAAGTATAGGAAGAGCGTCAATTTGTCAAATATTTGAGTGAAAGCAGCTATTTAAATGATAAAGATAAAATATCCAGATATCGAAAACCAATTTATTGCTCTCCAATTGGAAATATGGCGCGGATAATTCGAGACCTTCAGTCACATAATTGTATTGCAGATGGGATCACTCACTTAAGATGCTTCTAGGTGTGGTTTCTTTGATCTACAGATGACCATAGAATGATTTTTGTTAGTTTCTTCAGTTCTACATATGTCTGTATCCTAGGTGCTTAGAAATGCTACAATTATAAGGATCTAAACAAAATGAAATAAAAAATTGAAGTAAACTCGGACAATTTTGCGAATTCTTTATAAAAATATTTCTTTGCTACTTACTATTCAGCAAAGCAATTAAAAACAAAAAACGAATAATTGAAATCTATTATTCAAAACTCATGTTTTTAATTTTATGAGACTAGTTTCTTGTTCTCTAAGTGTGCCTTATTCTATAAATGCTTAAAAAAATATAGAAATAAAAAGAAGCTGATCTATGGTTAAATAAAATTTCTATTAGCACTCTGCTAATAACCATAAATTTCTTTTTATTTGCATCGATTGCTTATGAAAACAAACATCCGTTAAGTCTCAAGAACTCTTAAGAAACTGCATTTGATATCATTTTTCTAACCTTAAGCTGCAGCGTCACGAGAATTTCGCAAAAGTAATTTTCCGCAACCAAAAATATAATAAACTAAGCAAACAAATACAAAGGAAGAACAACAAATTTGCGACTATTGCGAAAGCAAAAACCTTTTGACAAGGTAAACGAACAAAAAACAACAAAAATGTAGTAAAATTTCTATAAATTAAATTAAATTCGTGTGTGTGTGAGAGTTTATTTATATTTTTAAATTCAAAAAAAAAAAAAAAAAGAAACTATTGGTATTTGTATATGTGTGCGAGGGTGCGTGAAGCTGCGTTTCTATGTGTGTGTGTGTTTGCTGTGCACGCACGCGCCTCTAATCTGATTTGTCCACATACATATGTATACGAGTATACGTGTATGTATAAATATATATATTTTTGCAAACATTTTTGCGTGCGCAGTTTTTTGTCCTAAAAAAAAGGAAACGATTTGCGACAATCGCTAATGTTATCTAACACTACCATAGTTAGCAGCTATCTCAGCTACACACACTGATTGTTGTTGCTGTGAATTTGCGTAGTGAGTGTGTATCTGTGTGTGTGTGTGTGTGTGTGTGTGTGTGTGTGTATGGGTGTCTGCGTTATCGTTACGTCATGTTCGGGTGTCTGTGCGTCGGGTTCAACAACTGCTAATCACACGATATGCCGCTCTAAGTGAGACAGATCGCAGAGCATTTTGTCAGCAATAGATAGATAACATTTGTACATTTCTGTATTTTGAAAAATAACGCACAATTGACACGCAGAATATTTAATACCCTAACTGCAAAAAACAATGATTGGTTGAACGTTTTTTCAAATATTCTAATTTGTTTTAATTTAATAATATTTTAAATTTTGGTGACTGGATAAATTGATTGATACATGGATAGTTAAATGTATAGTTAGATGGATAGCTAGTTTGTCGAAAAGATAGATCAAATAACTATTGGATACATTTAAGTAGATATATAAAACCATATAGACAGATGAATATGAATTTATTAAATAAAAAATATATCCATCATAGGACTTAAAGTTTAATTGCAACACATATTTGCTTCAAAAAGGTAGGCAAATAATTACGTATAGGTAAAATAATAATATAATTTAAACAAAAAAAAAATACCAGCCTTAATATTGGGGCTATTTAAATATATAAAGTAATTTCTTATCAAAACAAATATAAATAAAACTATACTAAAAATGAAAATAATCCCTTTAATAATAATAAAATTTTCAATAGTATTCCTTTAAAATATACATAATATAATATGAAAAAAAAAAATTATGCAGCTAGAAACTTCTTAGACAAAATAACTTTGCAACTTAAATAGGTATCAGGTGGTGTGATCAGATCTTTCAACATAGCAACTATTTATATTACTACTACTATAATTTCTGTTCTTGTTCTTAATCATGTTAAATGAAATTAAATATGAGAACTTCTTAGATTAAATAACTTTGAAAACTTATAAAGGGAACTTCTAAAGTTAGTTGCCGTCCTTATTATTAATCAAGTTCCAAGTTCAATGAAAGATGACAACTAATTTGATAAATAACTACTATAATTTCTGTTCTTAATCATTTTAAATGAAATTAAATATGAAAACTTCTAGAATACATTTGAAAACTTCTAGAAGGATCTTCTAAAATTAATTGCCTGATATAATAATATAATATTAATAAATTTTTAGTCAAGTTCCTTTGAACAGAAGAATTGAAATGCAATGAAAGATGACAACTAAGTGGATGTATTAAATGATGAAAGCTAATTATAAGGCTTACAGAAATATCTGCTTCAGTCAATCCAATTATTATCATTTCCTTTCTTAACACTATTCATTGTCCTTTTGAACATACCTCAGACTATAACCAAAATGGCCGGTTTCCCTGAAAATTTGAAATGTGTTTAAAACTGGCTATTAAACCTTTTAGCATTCCTCTCATGAGACGCGCCACTAAGTAATTGAAATAGTCAAAAAATGAATTTCAATACACTTTCAAGTGCGAGCCATTAAATTGTTCGATTATCAAGCATAATTAATATTATTGTATATATATACAAGTATGTATATAGATGATGCGTATTGTTGGGCAACATTTCCTTCTAAACTTTGACACATTTTGTGCTCGATTTGAGTTTTCATTTCAACTCAATGTTTGATTGATAGGCGTGAGCATGCAAAAACAACAATGCAGCTAACACATTAATTATACTACTGTATATGTATGTGTATATGTATATGACTGATAAAGCTTATCGCGCACGCCAGCGCTTGTGGGCTGTGCGTAAATAGTTTTCTAACTTTCGGTGTTATGGCAAAAAAAAAGAAGATATGTGACGGCCATAAAAGAAAGAAACGGCACCAAAAAAAAAAAGAATCAACTTTGCAAGTAAATGTGAAAATGCAACAGCAAATGTAGTTTTTTAATGAAGCGCGAACACTAGACCACATAATGTGCGGCACACATTTGGACAGACACACACATATACATAATACATAAGTATCTATGTATTTTTGTATCTATGCAGGCACAACTTTAGGTACCAAGAGAACTAAAAGAAAACGTCGCGCATTTTCGTTGCTGCTTTTTCGATTTTCTTTTCTTTTTGTTTTTTTTTTGTATTTTTTTTGACGCATTTTAAAAATATCTTAGTCGTAATTGTTGTTGTTTTAGGTTTGTTGTTTTTTTCACATTACTAATACGTCGTGTTTGCTTTGATTTGTTTTTTTTTCCTTTTTTTTGTTGTTGTTTAATTTTCGCACATAAAGTGCGTGACTCTTAATTAGACTACAATAAATGTGTGAAATAGCTGCTATATATATGTGTGTGTGTGAGAGTGTGATTTGGTGGGTGAGCTTATCTTAATGGCTTCTGTGGTTGAGCTTACACTAAATGATTGTCATTAGAGTGCTGCATTAAATGACTTCAATTGCTGAAGAATGAATGTTTAATCAGAACAATGCCACCACTGAGAAAAGGCATTTAAAGATTTTCTAGACTATCTATAGTTGTTCAGATATCTTATATTACAAAGAGTATAGCGCTAGTTTCAGACAATTGAAAAGTAATATATGTTAACTTTTTGTCTTTAATGTTACCTCGTTGTTCCGATAATTTCTGGCCACCAAACAGTTTGTAAATTGCATTTTTTTTTTTT